TCGCAGGGCTGTGATTTGTTAGGCCCATTCCCCAAGTGACATCGGGGCTGGTGGGGGGGGTGCTTCGGCAACCCGTGCTGGAGGGGAGACCTGCTCAGACCGTGGCGAGGCCCTGGCATCCTGGGCCCAGGTGAGGGGGAGGCTCCAGGGGCAGTCCTGCCCAGCGCACACTGCTCTCGGGAAGCCCACGTTGGAAGGGAAGAGGGAAGAGCGGAGACGGGGTCTCCTCTCCACGGGTGATGTATGTGCTAAGCGCCAAGCCCCAGAACCTGTGCTCTGTCCCGTCGTCGGCCCCTCGACCTCCCTCCACAGGCATCGCGGCACCGACCTGCGGGCCAGGCTGCCACAGGTACCAGTATGAACAGCACGGACCTGGTTTCATAGTAAGAAACAGGAATGTGGGCCATTTCCAAGGGCCGCCCCAGCGGCTCCGAGGTCTTCCCTAAGCTGGTGTCGCTAGGTGTTCCCCCTGCCATCTCAGGGGCGTGGAGAGGCCAGGCCCCACTGGCTGCGGGAGTCGGGGTCTCTGGTCCCCTTCGGAAGCAGCCTGGAGGCTAGTTTCTGTTGCACCTGTAGAGGTGTGACACTAACTCGACAAGGACGGTCCCTGGCTCGGCCCACTCCCGCCTGCCCTGTGGGGCTCTGCTCTGCAGGGCAGACAGCGCCCAGAGCCGCTCGGGCCTGCAAGGAGGGCACCCTCACGCCCTCTTCCTGTCTGTGTGCCCTGGAGCAAGGCCACCCGGCACCCATGGCCACTGCGCCCCAGACCGACCACACCAAGTATGAGAGTCATTGATTTAATGACCAATTAGTTGCTAAACATAGAGCTAAAAATAAACACACTGGTCTTGTCCTGGCCCGTTTGGCTCAGCGGTTGGAGCACTGGTCCGCGGACCAGAGTCTCGGGTTTGATTCCGGCCAAGGGCACGTACCTCGGTTATGGTTCAGTCCCCGGCCCTGGTTGGGGTCCTGCAGGAGGAAACCAGTCGATGGGTCTCTCTCACATTGGTTTCTCTCCCCCCCGCCCCCGCCTCCCACCCTATCTGATAATAAATGAAAAATGTCCTTGGGTGAGGATTAAAATATATAAATAAAAACACTGACCTCTTCAGCCCTGGCTGGCCTTGCTCAGTGGTCAGAGCATCGGCCCGCAGACCAATGAGCTGCAGGTTCCATTCCACTCAAGGGCACGTACCTCAGTTGCGGTTCATCCCCAGCCCTGGTCGGGTCGTACAGGAGGCAGCCAATCGGTGTGTCTCTCTCACATCAATGTTTCTCTCTCTCCCCCCTTCCCTCCTACTCTGATAATAAACGGAAAAATGTCCTCGGGTGAGGATTTAAAAAACAAAACAAAACACCGACATCTTTAAACTCTCGGGCCAGCCCTGGCTGGTGTGGCTCAGTTGGCTAAGCATAGTCCAAAGGTCACTGGTTCGATTCCCCAGTGGGGGGCATGCAGGAGACAGCTGATCGGTTTCTCTCTCACACTGATGTTTCTCTCTCTCAAAAAATCAATAAAAAGAAAACATATTTAAAAAAAAAATTTTTTGAAAAAATAAAAATAATAAACAAAATAAACGCTGGAGCCAAAGGAGAGACCCAGTATCCCTTCACTAATTTAATTAGAAGATGCTTCCTCTCCCTTTTATTCAACTTTTGTCAGATTCTCTGATGACATGACTAAAGCTGTTTAACTAGGCCAAATTGCAAAGTACGAAGAATACGACCAAGTTAAAAATATAAAGCTAAGGTTCTGGGACATGTCCATGCTGTAGGTGACGCTACGCACGTATGAATGGTTAGGTTCCCTCGGTGGAGTGGCTGAACAACCCCAGTGGCCGCCAACAGGCCACCTTCCTGGCCATGAGCAGCACGGTGAACCTTCACCACGGCGGCTGGGGAGGCCAGGGTTCCTCGGCCTGCACAGTGGTGACGTCTGGGGCCACAGGAGTGTGTGTGGAGGGGACTGTCCCGAGTACTGCGGTGGAGCATCCCCTCAGGTCCCTCCCAGCAGATGCCTGCGGCCTTCCTGTCTGGTGAGAGGCCCTGGCTCCACGGACACCCTAGTCCCACGTGAGGGGAACCAGGAGAGGGGAAGGGCTGTTTCTTGGGGACCTGTGGTCGCTTCACAAAGCCAGGCCTAGCGGAATGGCCCCGAGGGCATCATTAGGCATTGAATGGAGCATTAGAGTTGTACCCACCTTGACAACTGTACCCTTTCCAGCCAAACTCAAGGCTGGAGGACATGCTGGCTCAGACAGGTGAAGGAGTCCTGGGCACGAGTAGGGGCTAGGGCCTCGATCAGCCTGCACGAGGGGTGGGGTGGGGGCCGGGCTCGCGCTCTGTCCACCTCTGGGCCTCTGCGTGACCTCTATCCAGAACAGTCACCTCCCTGCCCAGCTTCACAGGCTCCTGCTCACCCTGCGGGTCTCAGCTTCACTATCCCCTTCTCCGGGCCGCTCTCTGCCGCCTCCCTGCCCCCGCCCCCGCGCTGGACAGCCACTCTGCTGCCTGGCATCCACTGCTCCTCGCTAAGGACGGGCTCCTTACCTCCCATGCACACCAGACACGCTGGTCCACACTGGGTGTCCTGCTGGGTCCTCACCAGAACATGACCTCCGTGAGGACAGGGACCCTCTCTACTGACTGAGCAGCACGCCCACCCCGGACCCGACGGGGCGCCCACACCTGTGGATCGCCCGAATGTTTGCTGTGTTGAAGGAAGTCACGCTTCCACTGAGTGGCAGGGGGGCCAGTAAGCGAGGTGCACGAACGGAGTCAAGCCACAGGCACAGCAGCCAGCAGCGTCACGGACGTGGGCGCCGGCTTCTCTCTGCAAAGGCGACGAGACTGGAGTGTGCGAGGCGGAGACCATGGTGCGCGACACTATGGAAGGGGGAGTGCCCATCTTCACCCACGTATTTTTGGGGTATGCAACAGACCCTTATTATGATGCATCTTTCGGAGAAATGTTTGTACCCTGAGTCCAAGCACACACCTGTCAGTGGATCGGTAACATAGCAAAAGCCCGCTGAGACAGTTGAACACTAAGCTGGGTGGCAGTCCTGTTGTTCAGAACGAGGATGCTAAGGGGCCACAGTTTACATATTGACCAGGGAGGGCAGGGAGCGGGTGGGGAGGGCCGTCCAAAGACTCAGTGAGGGCCTCAGGGGTCTGCGTTGCAGAGAGCACGCCCCGTCTGTTTGGGTCCCTGTCACCACTGCCAGGTTCCAACATCAAGAACACAGAGACATTCCATCTAACTTTTATATGAAGAATTTAATCATCTATACATGGAACTAATCCAAAAATTGAATTACATTGTTAAAGCCGCAGGTTTGTATATTTATATATTTTACATTCGTATCCATTAAAATACTGAAGCACTGATGGACACGGAGGAGCAGTCCCCTCGGCGCCACGCGAGTGGGGCAGGGTCTCGGGGGGAGACGTGAAAACGGGTTTCCGGGCTATCGGCAACGGCGTTTCTATTGACAGATTCCAACTAGGGTTTGAAAGACACACCTGGCTTCGGCTACACCTCTAACACATACATGGACCATGAGCTCCGTTTCACATGAATCTGTAAAATTCCACAGTCTAGTTAAAAAATGTAAACATTGGAAATTAATTGCAGGGAGACTTCTATACATTCTTTCTTGTCAAGAAAATTACTTGTTCAAAATATGTCATTCCATGAAAAGTAACTGGAAGAAAACTCCATGTAACAGAGACGAAGAAAAGATTGTATATATGTTGTTGCTCATAAAAACCTCGATGGTATTGTCTACTGATTTATGGTATGAAACACGCAAGGTTTAAAACCCAAAACAGAAACACCAACTCAACCAGATAAATCTGAGACCGAGCAAAAACACAGGTGCTCTCCCATGTGGCTACAAGGTCGCTGTGCAAAATACAATTAATGCAATGTGATTAGCACGTCATACAAGGTAATAACTTCTGCCGTGGGAGGAACTCATTTCTTAGGTACAGGATGTATTATTACATGCTCACAAGGTACATCTGAAACACACAGACAAGCACAACCCCTTCTGTTTAATCGGGCTACACGTCTTGAAGCAGACAGACTGAGCTCCCCTGTACTGCTACATTAGCGGAAAACCCAAACTACACAATTGAGCTGCTAACACTGGGCAAAATGAAAAATACATCAAGTCTCAGATTTACGGACATTTGGAACATTTTTAATAGCACATGCAGCATTCCTTGATAGTGGGTCTTTTTGCAAAACCAAAATAGCAAAGAAGTAATTTATTATCTATTTTATTAAAAGGCTAAAATATATCTTTAAAAATATTTTTAAAACTATTGAAAGCACCTGTGCAAAGGTGGGGGCAGTCAAATTGAATCAGTAGGAAAGCCACAAAAGGACCCACTACCCTGTGTTGTTGTTTTTTTTTGTAATTTTTGCTTCTATCTCTGCAAGTAATAACTCAACATTGCCGTCACATGCAACTAAGGTAAAATGAGGTAAACTGCTCTGCAGTGAGTTCTTCTACTCAGAAGGCAGTAGGTGATCATGCTGGAAGTCACATGATCAAGGCTGCATCTCCCATCATCCCTCTGGGCAGTGATATGGGATAGTGGGTCTCTTTGAGGACTTTCAAGCCTGAGGGGGGGATGGACAACATATGATTCCTAGAAAAAGGAGGAAAACAACACATAAGCAAAACAAAACAATGAGCAAAATTCAAGCTAGGAAAATGAGGCATGTAAACAGCATGGTGCCAAAATGATTTAAAAAAAAGGAAAAGGGGGTGGGGAAGGGGGCGGGGAGGGAGGAACATGCTACAGAAGGAATGAAATAAACAAAAACAAAAACAACCCCACGAGATACGGTCTTGCACTACAGAAGGTCTTCAAAGAGACTGTGAAGGCAGCGGGGTCCAGCTGCGCGCTGAACAAAGCTCGCAGAGTCAGAGCAATGCTGCATGTTCACCGAGACACCAGGGGGCCGCGGAGCCGCCGGCACTTACATTGCTGGCTGGGGTCCGTGTCTGTGGTCAGCTTCACGTAATTGGATGGAAAGAGCCCCACTTGTCCGTTGACCTCTCCTTTCCACCAGTCGGGGTCCTCCTTGTTGAGGACGTTGATGATCTGGCCCTTGCCGAAGGCCAGCTCGTCGTCGTTCTGGGCGGTGTAATCGTACATCCCGATCACCTGGCACACTGCGGGGGACGGGCGGGTGAGCGCCGTGCTGTGCACGGCACACGGAACGGCAACTGGGGGCCCAGATACTCTCACATTATTTCTGTCCTTCCCGAAGACGGTAAGTTAAGCAGAGGCACTCTGATGGGCTTTGTGCAGTGTCAGGGTGATAAAGGAAGAGGAAGGTTCGAAACCAAGACACAGGCAAACACCTCACACTAACACTTGGTGTTTGTAACGCCCTCCTCTCCCCGTGCTCGTCGGCAGAGCAGCGGCAGCGATGGCCCGAGCTCGCGGGTCACTTCTACTGGAGCAGCGGCCGGCCTTTCACAGGCCGACCTGACGGCCTGGCCCGCCGCAGGGTCAGCGGTGTCTCATGGGCCCCGCTGCCGCTCTTTTCGGGTTTTGTTTGTTTAGGGTGGAAGGTGGTGATCATTTGACCTCCCCAAATTCCAAATCTTAGTGTAAAGAAAAATCAAGTGTTCTATTCTGCTGTATCTTTGTGTCTCAAAATTTTGTCTTGAAAGAAATTTCCACATTCAAGACTAAGTTTTCTTGTCTCGTTTCTAGAGGTTACTGTTTTCATTCTCCGGCATTTTTACACTTCGGGCTAGTCTGCATAGCTAGGTGGTACCCCAATTAATCTTTCATCACCAACTTGTATGTAGGTTTAGGTTTTTCAACCAAGCTGATGAAGGGGCCAGGCCAGGCCTCCCCAGGAAGAGGGCACCCAGCTGGCACCTCTCTGCCCACACAAAGCCACAGCTCAAGAGGCCCAGCTGGGGTCGGGAATCAGTCACATTTGCCAACCCTTCATTCCTTGCACAGGCTACCAAGTTCTCATCTTGTTTACTGCGGATACATAGCACACACTTAACCACAGGTGCTGGAATGACAATTCTGCATTTTCCACAAATGCCCCCTAAGAATTGGTGGCTTAAAGACCTAAAGCAGGATTTTGCTCACCTCACTCATCTCAAATGTTACTAAAGCACCTACTTTGGTCTCTTCAATCAGAAAACAGCCCACCGCTCAGCTGCAGCCCTCTGTCCTTCTAGTCCTTTGGGGGAGTGTGCAACATCCTGCCCAGTGAGCAAAGCTCTGTTCACAGGGAGTATCCCTGGGAGTTATTTTAGTCTCAGCGGCCAGCACGCCACAACCAGCACCCCGAGGCCTCTGGCTCAATCTCCGGATGCATGCAGACCCCAGCCACTTATTTTTAGAAGTCCCCTCGCCTCCCTGCCCATACCCAAATGTAAACAGCTGGAAGATAACCAGGAAAAGAATCTGGCCAGGACGCCATGGCGTCACAACCCTGCTGGGGAGACCGTTCCAACAAGGGCCTGTTGTACCCAGCGCGGCGAAGCTGCTCAGATATTCAGTGCTTCTAAAAAACATACTCCACATCACATCAGTTGGGTACAAGAAGCCCCAACAGCCAACGTGAACAACAGCCTGAGCTACTTCACCAGAAGACGGAGTGGAAAATCTAGCATGACACGCAGGCTGTTCTGCAAGTAAGGACAGCGGACCACTCACCTGCCGGGAATGCCGTGGGCTTAGGTGGCTCTGTTGGAGTGATTTTGCTTGTCCCAGGGCTTAAAAGTTTTACATAATTCGCAGGGAACCAGCCTATCTGGCGCTTTTTCCCACGTGCCTAATAAAAAAATAAAATAACTGCATCAAAATGTGCAAAAGGTTCGCGTTCCTTCATGACACAGTCTGCTCGGTAATGGGGCACTTACACCATGTCTCCATTAACAGTACAACCCACAGGTCACCATACTGCAAACCAAAAACACAAGCAAAATTCCAACTGTGGTAGCAAGCCCCTGGGCAGCAGAGCCTGAGAAGTCCGTGCACGGGCCGGACAGCCTGGGTCACATTCGGAGGACAAAGTAGTGCACACAGGATACAAAACCGCTCGCGTCACATCCGTTCGCAGCTGTCACTATTGCACGAGTATGGCTGAGCCCTGGCCGGGTAGCTCAGTCTGTTACAGCGTTGTCCCGCTACGCCCAGGTTGCAGGTTTGATCCCAGGTCAGGGCACATGTAACATTCAACCAATGAATGCATAGACAAATGGAACAACAAATCTATACTTCTCTCTCGCTCTCTCCTTTCCTCTCTCTCAAATCAATAAATTAGAAAGAAAAATCTTTAAAAAATAAATTATAAAAAGATATGGCTACTGTCAACATTATATGTGGATTTTAGGAGTAATAATAATAGCACTAACACTTATTGGGCGCTTTTATAAGCTAGGGCCGTGCCGAGCACCTTAAATGCACTTGTATCTGCACCACAAATCCAGAAGGATAACAGTGACTGTCCCCACTCCCCACACAGTGAAGCTCAGAAGGGAACCGGCAGTCCCAAGCTTACAGGCTGGCTAATGGGAAGCCAAGACTCACACTCACATTTGCACCCTTCTTATGGACAAGAGACAACATAAATACAAGACACTTACACGAAGTATGCATAAGGAGTCAACTTGACATTGTTTTAAAAGACCAGCAGGCCTACGTGGTGGCCACAGCCACACTTTTCAAGGCCATTCCTTTTCCTTCACTTCCATCTAATTCAACGGCAGACCCGGCTGCGAGTGTTTACAAGTGCTATTTGGAAAGGGAGAGCATGTGGCCCGGAGGAATTTACAATGAAGTTGGTGAGCCAAGATCTGCGATCCTGACACTTTTCTAGGAGATGAAGAGACTAGTTGGGGATCGGGGAAGTGCTCTGATTGCCCTTCTGCATTCCGCCAGAAACAGAGACTAAAAGAATTCGCGTACGCACGCGTGCACACACACACATGCACGCATGTACACACGCATGCACGCACACACACGCATGCATGCACGCACACACACATGCACACACACACACACATGCACACACAGGGACTAAAACTCCTATGAGGTACAGATGTGGCTTTGAAGACACAGAACCCTGCCCTTGGACCTTGTAACACCACCGACAGAAAGCTCCGCTTCTAAAATGCCAGGACCCCTAAGGATGACTCCATGCAGGGGTCCCTCATGGTGAATTCTCACAGTTTCAACACTCGCTATCTGACGCAGGAGTCCAGTAGATTTGGACACATTATCAGGAGAACCCTTAACTTTCAAAGCTCTGCTACTGGCTGTCGGACACCAGGAACCAACAGGTTCAGATAATACAGAATCTGTCTCACTATCCAAACACAGGATTAGTTTGCAATATAAGTGTCCCTTTCTGATTTTGCATATTCAAATCTGGACAGAGGATTCCCAACAAAAGAAAAGATGCTCACCTGCAGCTCGCCTTCCCACCATCCACCTGGGTTCTTTTTTCGGATCAAAATCAGCTGGCCAGGGGCCAGGGTAAGCTGCTCTGGACCGGTGGCCGTGTAGGAGGCAATAACCTGGGCGATTTCTGAAAAACAAGATGGCAATCGTGGTGTCCTGTTACAGTAGGAGACACAGCCACCTCCCAGGCTCACAGGTTCACACCATCAAAGCCAATCTACAGGGCTTGTTTTCTACTAAATGAGGACGGCTCAGTCAGTCACCCCCATTCCACAACATCACAAATGCAGCATCCAAGGCCCCAGCCTGCTCTCGGGCCTCACCTCTCAGAACTTACCAACTTCCCTCCGCCGACTGCCCCCCATTACCACACCTTCTGCCCCGCCCCTCCCCCACTGCACCAATGCCAACAGCTGGGCCTCATTCATCCCCACCTGCCCTCTGCCCCCGCGTGCTCAGCACAGCCCACTCACGGACAGTTAAGTGAGTAAAGGAACACATGTGAAGCTCCCACCCACCAACGCAGGAGGCAGAGCAATTCTGCTTCCTTCAGAAGCCACGGGCCAGGACACCTGCTCAGTTACATTGCAGCTTTAGACTCTCACCCCACCCACGAGGCCCGTCTCTGTGCAGCTCACATTTTGAGGGTGATCCCTGAATATTAGGCAGGAATCCTATCAAGGCAAGTTTACTACTTTTTATTTTGAGTTAAAGGAGAAACCTGGAGTAAAGGTGGGAATTTTATGCAAAAACAATTCAGCACAGAAAACACGTAAATAAATAGTCCTGTACTTTTCCTCAATGAGAAAATGTCATGGGAAGAATCCCAGCAGCACCACAGACGGGGCTCCACTAAGACAGGCCAAGCAGGAGGAGACAAAACCCTTCCCTGGCTGAATTTTGGTGCATCTACAACTGTGTTCTGAGCTTCTAGAAGCTACACAGGACGTACTGTTCTAACCCTCTACGCTCACTCCCTGGCCATCATAACCCAGGAAGGGAGGAGGGAGGAAGGGGTCAAGAAAGAGAAGAGGTGCAAAGGCCCCGACCTGTGACAGTTCTCTCCGCCTCTAGAGGCACACAGCAGTCTGTGACTCTGGTCTGCAGGCAGCTGGCCACCACGCCAGGAGCGCCAGGCTGTTGGGGTGCAGGCCTGGCCCCTCCAGAAGCTTCGGGGAGCTCAGGGGAAGTGGGAGAGAGCTCAGCTTACACACACGCTAGCTCGGCCAGCGCCCTAGCTGGAGATCTGTGCTGGCCGTGCAAATTCCCCCGAGCACACCAAGGGCAGGCTCTAGAATCCAAGTTTCCGGTCTGAACAAAGTCAGGTCAGCAACCCACTCGGCCTCGGATGTCCCTGCTCCTCAAAGGGTCTGCACAGCAGCAACCTGCCTCAACCTTCCTTTCTGTCTTTTGTGTCCCTGAGCAGCTCACTGGTTTCAGTGCAAAGTGAAGCCCATCTGGACCCCGTGGAATGACAACTCAAAATGCAGACTATTCCAGTTAAAGCAGAGATCTGAGCCAGGGCTCCAATACCCGAGTCTGACGGAAGCCCTACAACAGCCTGAACCCTGCTCTTCCTCGCCAGTGAAGCCCTTCGAGCTGAGCACCACACAGACACACAGACCCTCTCTTGGCACAGCGGGGACCCTTCAACCTGGAACCCTCAGGGTGAGAGCGCGAAGTGCTCCAGTGACCTAGATGAGGACGACGGGCCATACACATCACAAGATTTCACGTCTCCTTCCTCCTCCTCTCACTCATGCGTCTATGAACAGAACGTGTGATTCTGCTGAAATAAACCAGAACGCTTTAAATTCGGAGGGATGACTATAGTATGCCTGAGGAACACCAGCCAGTGGCCTCTAAATTAACGGGATCTACGTTCTGATCAGACTTGTTCCTTTTCTGCTCCCCACCATTTGTGGCCGGGGACCGAGGGTGCCGCCAGGAAAGGGCTTCCTGACCCCCACAAGAGGGTGACCACGCAGCAGCTGGCCCCGAGGCTCACAGCTGCCCACCATCTTGCCGGAACCCTGCTTCTCGACCAGGAGAACAAGCTGTCTGGTGACGTGCCGTCCCCACGTGGGAAGCGACAGCCACATTCCATAGCCCTGACTAGTGGATTCCAAGGAAAGGAACAGCTCCGACCACTCCTAGGAAAGATTCGTGTGTCTTTCTTTTTAGGCTCCTGGCCCTAATAAAAAAAATTGGGAGCAACTATAAATCACATTCAAAACATTTAAAAAGAAGCATCAGGGTTTGTAACTTACCAGGTTTTTTTCCTAAACTCCCTGTTTTCCCAGCAGTTCCAGAGCCCTTAAAACAGAGCAAAAGGTCTCATTTGCATACTGCAGAGTTTTGGTCATGCAACTTACAAAACGATTAATGGTGACACAAACCCCTGAGCCCCTGCCCCCCTTCCCTCCTGGGAAACACAGTAGCCCTGGATCTCCTGATGGGAGGACGTGCATCGGGAGAACACGGGACAAGGCAGCACTTCCAAACACACAGCTTCACCCTCTTCTCTGAGAAAAAGGAGCAAAGCAGGTGGCCCAGTGGGATCGAATCCCAGGGGCTCAGGAGGACAGTGTGCACAGGCACGGCCTGTCCCCGGCCACCTCAAGCGGGCACACTAGGAACACTGCTGGTCCACGTGCTCCACACTACGCTCGTGTTTCCGTTCACACGGCCAACTCTGAAAGATCTCACACGTGAAAGACACAGACGTCCATGAGCCCGACGCCCAGATTTAATACCTGAAAATATTCATATATTGCTACATTTCCTTTAGAGTTTTCTCTAAAAACCAAAGCACTACAGTGGCAAGCCAACTGCCCATCCCATCCACCTCGTTGCAAGAGCCAGCCCTCAGTCCCGTGCCTCCCCCGCATCTCACGCCGTCTGAAGCTGGAGCTCTCTACTGGTGCTGGGCGCACAGGCCACGAGAGCAGCACATGTTTCTTCCAGCTGGGAAGTATCCCGAGTGTCCCGGGATGGATTCCTCCTTGAACACGCATGGAATTTTAAACCAGCCGCGCCAGCCAACAGACCTCGAGTCAGGCCAGGGGCCAGGCTGTCATGTGTACAAAGTGCTCCAGTCTGAATCCTCGCCCTCAGTCCCTGTCTTCGTGGTAAATTAAGCATTCCAATGAACACCAAGGCTTAATGACCTGAATGAGTTGCTGTGAGAATAAAAATACGTAACTTATCTACAAAGGAATACAGCTTGTCATAGTCCCTTTACTTTGGCTACTGAAATTGAATAACCATTTCCAAGGGAAGTCTGAGTTAAAACTCTTACCGACTGCCTTTCTGTAATAACACAATTATGCATACCAACCTCTCTCGCTACGGGACAGGCTGCGTATCAAAACAAAGGGATGTGAAGAGACCTATCCCAGATGACCAGTTCCTGTCCCAGGACAGAAACAGAACGCAGCACCGGCAGGACGCAGTGACAGAGTCCAGGAGCTTCAGTGCGCTGTCGGGGTCACGGCCAGCACGCCTGCGACGCCCTGGAGGCCGGGTTCTGCCCTGGCACTCCTCCAGGGGAAAGGCAGGCTGTGCGCACGCTCTGCTCGGACAGGGCGGGAGGCCTGACAGCACAGCCCCGCCCGCGCCCAGGGGCAAGTCTGGAGCTGGAGGCTGGGCCTGGTCTTCACCTCTGGCAGGACATTTTCCTTCTACACTGAACTCTGTGCCCGAGTGGGATGAATGAGCTGGCTTTTGAGACTTTTTTATTATGAAATCACGTAGCTCAATGTCCCAGGTCTTTGGCCCGGCTGGTTCTTCGGGGCCCCTACTTTAAGACTGTGCTTAGGAAGCACCTCCTCACAGCTCAGCTTATCTTTAAAAACGTTACAGTCTATTTTTACTTACTGTCTTGAGATGGGGTTTTTTTTTTAATAGAAAACTGTAATTTATTCAAATGTAAGTAGTGGCTTTTGTGTTTTAATTGATCCAAAAGGTGAAGTCACTTTAAAACTTGTCACGCATAGTAACATAAAGTGAGTTCAGTTTTTAGTGTCCCCCGCCCCTAAATGTCATCTGTGTGACCCTCGTCGCATCCACTGGCTGATAGGCTGTCCTGCAGGGAAGGTGCTTCCTTCCTGACTCTTTGCACTCTCCAGCCTCTGCAAACCCTCAGGGAAATCAGTGAGCTGTTCTCAAGACCACACAAGGGAAAATGAAAAAACAAAAACATAAAGACCATCCCTAAGAAAACCGCTGAAGAAAACCAGATGAAGCTATTCCTGGACCTGCAGGGCTGAGAAAGCTGGTGGGGGGATGGCAGCTCGTCCGCAGGCCCAGCCGGGCACCAAGAGCAGCCTGGGCTGTGGAGGAACCCAGGGTGCACCCTGCCCTTGGCATCAGGAGACAGAGACCGTCCGTGGCTCACCCCGGGAGGCGGCCCTCTCCGTGCCCAGGAGGTCTGAGGAGGAGGAGAGCGTGCCTGAGCTGCCTGCCCGTTCCTGCCATGCATGCGCACTGCGGTCAGATGTGACAGTCATGGCCTTACACCCTCACACTGACTTGAAACTGGCCCCTTGGAGATGGGCTCCCCCACCATTTCATTCAACCTGCACTACCTCAGACCACAGCTCATGCCACTGAATTCTTAGAGCCCCATGTGACAACAAGGGGGCCAGTTCAATGTTCCAACTATGGCAGCGTTTAAAATAAGTTCAGACCTTCATCAACGGAGGTACTAAGGCCGAAAGTGTAACAGTCTCTTGGATCTTGTGTCTTCCTACTGCATAGGCAGAAATACACATTTTAGAACACTCTACTGACAATATTCTGGGGCAGTATCAACAAAATCCTTTCCTTTACGTGGGCCCAACACTGCTGTGTACCTTCCTTGGGGTGGCCCACGTCAGTGCCCAGGAAGACCTAATTAAGAACGTTTACTCCAAGCCCTAAGTCAGTTACAGGCAGGCAGGGAGAGGACACTGAACATCACGTCCCAGCTGCCGCAGACCGCCTCGTTATTGCAGCCTCCATTAGCCCAGGGCGTCCTTCCGCTGGTGGGAAGCCGAGGCTTACCCTGCAGCACCAAATGACAAGTTCAAAATTACAGGTCACACTGCATCGGCCGCCATGTTCCAGATCTTAGCACAACCCAACCAAGTGTCCCACCATCGAACGTCCGGGACTCCCCACGAAGAGAGTCACTGTGCGGAAAGGAGAGGAAACAGTTAAGGTGCGTTTACCTCTGAATCTTTAAGCCTCACATAGTTAGAAGGGAAGACTCCGGACTTGTCGCCCACTGTTCCTGTCCACCAGTCACCATCTTTCTTGGTAACCACAATCACATCCCCTTGCTGAAAGGTTAAATCGCCTTGCTCAGAGCTCTCGTAAGTGTACATGGCGATAAATTCTGGTGGGGAGAAACATTGAGATACGGAGAGAGCTTGGTTGTTTACAGAAATCCCAGACAGCTTTGCAAAAGAAAGTTTATGAATCAGGAAGTTAGGAGAGGTGCACTCAAGAGAAAGGCTAGTCACAGACAAACACAGAGTTCAAGAACACCTGGGTACAGTCCCCAGCTGCACTTAAACTCAGTCACTGCAGGGCTGCGACACCCACTGCATGTCTGCCGACACTGAGAACCAAGAGGGAGGACCATGTAACGCCATGGCTTCTTTCTGAAACTGAAATGACCGTCACCTTTACTTTAACTAATGGTTACTGAGTACTCATGTGCCGAGCACTGGGCTCCCTGGAGTGACACATAGGCTCCTGGTGCGCACGTCCAATATCTGTGTTCAGTTTTAAGGGTACCGAGTCCGAATCTTAGAGAACTTTTTGATACAGTAGTATAGCCTTTATGCAAATCAAATAAGGCACGTTTTCCATTAGTCAAGTGCCTGAATGAAAACTTATGTCCCACTGTGCCATCCAGACAGATGGCAGGAAGCTGTTAGAACACAAAATGCATTACTTTGTCAGAAAATGGGAATCTACTTGTCATTCAAGTGCATAAACAGGTAGAATGGGCTGATGATAAAGCAGTGTATAGCCAATCCCCAAAATAATCAAGTCTTTTTTGAACAAGTTGAAAAGATAAATCAGTTCCTTACATTTTATTATTTATGCAATTTAGTCTTAAGAATAAGAACTACTGTTCTGTACAGTCTTGAATGCGAAGGGTGTGCATTCCAGAGGAAATTCTCCTTTTTAATTATAAACAGCTGATTTTACTAAGGCTTAGAAATGAAGTCACACGCTCAGAAAGATAACTAGACACCAAATTCTAAACACTACGCTGGGTACAGGAGAAAAGATTTATTTTTCTGCTTTTTCTCCATTTATCCTAAGCCTGCGTATATTTTTTAATCAATTTAACAAAAGGTCACGCTTTGCCCATCATTTTTATGACGGGTGCTGTGTTCCCTGCTGGAACTTCAGGTGACAGTCCTCAGCCGCAGAGCGTGGCCGTCAGTGGGCAGGAGCATGGTGTGGAGGGTCCTGGGCCCGGGGCGAGCCTCTGCAGGAGGCGCTGCTGGAACTGACCCTCATACCCAGCCCAGCGCCAGGCTCATGCGGGCAGCGCTGGCCCGCAGGCGCCGGGGCAGACACCAGGTCCCCCCGGTGGGCGGGGAGAACAGAGGGCCCCTGTCTTTGCCCCAGTGCTGGTGCCACACACTTCCACAGTGAAAGCTGGAGAAATCACTTCCCACCAAGGAGCCCGAGTGTGGCAGCTTCAATAAGGACGTTCTTTCCCATTAATGTCCTCTTCCGCTTTCTCGATATCCTGACCCTTCCCTTTCCATTTTGCTCAGTTCCTTGTTCCTTAGCTCCTGTTTGGCTGCCTAAGATAGGGTCCTTGGCAGTCGATACTTTTCGCAGTGATTCCTGCACTTAAAAGTCACTTTCTTAAAAATGGATCCAAATTCTGAAGTAAGTCTCAAAATGCTTCAGAACCGTCGAGTGTGAACTCTGGCGGTGCTCAGCAGCGCAGCGGGGCTAAGTCCCCAGGGACCTGGGAGGAAAGTGGCTTTCCTCGTCCCGCCGCGCACACAGGGAGCTGTGGGGGACGCGAGGGTGACACACAGTGGCGCCCACCACTGAGACCCTCCCCTGGACATTAACACAGGGCCACTGGCTGTTCCCAAGTTGCTATTTTAAGAGCTACCCAAACAGACAACCTATTTAATCCGGCCTATGGTTTATTTTAAATTTGACTACGGCTAAAGCAGTACTAGTAAGCAGCTCATTAATAGTTGTAAGTAGCTTTTCTCAGCTTAGATGCAGTGCCCTCCCACAGCCCTCCAGGGGCCAGACTGCCCTAGGACCTCTCCTACGTGAGTCATTTCAAAATGGCTGCAACGAAGGGCACCAACATGACAACTGCAGTCTCTGTGCTTTACTGTGTGTGGTTCATCGGGGCCCGTTTACTGAGGCCTCCGGTGTCCAGGCCTCGGCAAGTTTCAAAATCGACTCTCCCACTGCGCTGCTTGAAGCAGCTCCGGCAATGATCCGGGAATGAAGCAAAAAGGACCGGAAAGTAGCAGACGTTTATTGACTTTTATTCTAAAACCTTTACACATATTATCTCATAATCCTTGTAAAATTTCCTAACTCCAAGGGTGGTTATCACACCCACAGTTACAGCGGAGGAAGGCAGGGCGTGGCCAAAATGATAAGGTTACTAGGTGCGAGTCATTTAACCGTGGTGCTGGGTTGGGACTTCACTGGATAGACACTGAGTTGGGGGAAGGGGTGTTGAAAGAGCTCTTTACTTTGTTCTTCTAACAGCATAAAATCACGAGGATGACAAGAATGTATGAAAAGAACTATGCTGATGATTGTTTTGGTGGTAAAAGCAATAAAACTCTGGGCTCGATTAGTGATGATGAGGTTTTGTAACTATACGTATAAATTTTTTAAATTTTACCTCTAAAATTCCTCTTGAAAAAGTAACTTTGTTACTGTGAGTCTGAAATATCATTAAACCTGAATCCTTGCTGTCTCCATGGGAACAATTGTTTTAATAATTCTATTTTTCAGAAGGCAAGGCTTCTAAGGAACACAACAATCTCATAATGGTACACAAACTATATAACACATTCTATCCTCATGTAGTTTATTCAAGGACCCCAAGAACAAGTACTAGACAACCGGTAGACATGTGTCAGCTACAACATTGTTCAGACGCTGACGGGGAAAGCCTGACTCAGGGAGCATTCTTCAAGGGGTACAGCGACAATGGCTATTTGAATATAGAAAAGACATGAGATTTCTACCATTGGAGTCTAAATAATGTAGGTTTTGTTTATTTTTAAACCTGTATCATATATTGGCATATACAATCCTTAGGATTAGGTCATGAAGCAAAGACCAGGAAATAAAGCGATCAATGGTGTAATAAACACTCAAAATGAAATGTTTGAGTCCAAATAACCTGGTGCAGTTACTTCCATGGCGTGTAGAGACTGCACTTCTGCTCCATCTGGGGCGGTGCAGGTGACACTGGTGTCGCTGGGACAGCTTTACTGGACTGTGAGCTATGGTTTCAAAACAACACCTTGTCCAAGTAGAGAATAGCCATGTCTACAATTTAGCTATCGAGATGCTCAGAAAACTTGACCCTCCGTGACCTTGACAGATCTCTTTCAAAAGTCAAAGGGCTCATAATCAAACGTAATGAGAAAATTCAGGTTTTAGGATCACTGTATCTGATAGTATTTTGACAATCTCTGTAAAGGGCTTTGATTTTGTAAAGAACTACACTTTCAATTTACCTTAGAGGTTAAGATACTGAACATAAATTAACATAGTCTATTTTACAGTGAAATCCAGTCTCGTTGCAAACATTTGCCATTTGTAGTATCATTTCCTCGACCCTTCCAAAGAACAGAACTAGCCGGTTCTCACCTTCTCCGGAAACGGCTGGCTTGGCCGCTGGGGAAGCTACTCTCTTTAGACTGGCAGGGCTTTCTGAAGAACCAGAATCCATGCTGAGGAGGAACGGGAAAAGTGTTTTATTTGTTATCTTCAGATAAAAAATAGTACAAATGACATTGATTTTTAAAAAAACCCACACTGTTTAACATTTAAAACTCTGAACATCTACAGAGGAAAGACAGGCGCCTGGTCGAGACCCCCGGCGAGGCGCCGGGTCGGGCCTGACGCTGAGGCACACGTCCCTGTTTCTCCACACTCTGGGTGCTGGGCACACGGCGCATGTCCCTGTTTCTCCGCACTCTGGGTGCTGGGCACACGGCGCACGTCCCTGTTTCTCCGCACTCTGGGTGCTGGGCACACGGCGCACGTCTGTTTCTCAGCACTCTGGGTGCTGGGCACACGGCGCACGTCCCTGTTTCTCAGCACTCTGGGTGCTGGGCACACGGCACTGCTCTCAGCTACTTCAGAGCAGGACCCATCGAGGCTCAGCCAACATTTCTGCAGTTTTTCTCCTCTTAAATCTCCTCATTTGTTTTGAACATCTATATGGCTGGAACAATTAGACAACAATGTTGCTAAGGTTCCTCGAGATAAGGATCCCAGTGAAAATGATCACTCATTCTTCCAGTTCCTTCCCCAGGGCTTTGGCCTCTAGTGTTCACCCACACGCGGGCCAGCACTGGGCGAAGCCGAAGAGGAGGCACAGACACCCACCAGCCCGCAAGCCCGTTCCAGCTCTGAGTGGAGCCCCTCAGGCACGAGTCAATGGAACAAGATTTACCGGCTGCCCCACGGGAAGGAAAAACGAGCCCTCATCTGTAAGAGGCTGCCTTCTCCTCCACACATGCCCCAACTGTTACAGAAGACCCCGAGCTATGCAAACAATAACTGAATGTCTAACATTGTTTTCATCTAACAGAAGCACATAAACACAAAAATACCTTGTAGATTTCCTTATGGGCCCTGAAATGAGTTTCACGTAAGACTTGGGGAACCAACCCTTCTGACCTTGAACTTCTCCAAACCACCACATGTCTTGCTGTTCCAGGACGGTGATGACATCGTTCTTGTTAAAGTTCAGATGGTTGTCTTTCTTGGCTCTCCAGGGGTACAGGGCTTGTGCCTGCAGCCCCTCCACCTTCTCACCCTGGTGTGGGATGACACGAAGGGAGGCTCGTTACCTTGCGGTCGGCTGTACTCGGACGACAGGAACGGGCACCTCCTCTCCGCAAGCACCCGGCCTGCTCCCAGCAGCATGGCCACGAGGCTTCACTGCTTCTCAGGAAGCTCCTTCCCAGGTGGTGGCGAAGCCAGCGGCCTAGTCACTGAGCCATGTCCGGCCATCTAGAACTCTCAGTGTAACAAGCCAGGCCATGGTGACTCTGTTGCACCTGGCCATGTGCCTTTCATTTTGGTTCTATTTGAACTCTCAAGTTACCTGGGCACCCCCACCTCAGTTCCAATCTGCCATGGCTGGTTAGTGGAAGGTTAACGCCGGAGCATAAATCTTAAGAAATCCTAAAGGCTGCGTAACTGGCACCTTCCTTCAGGGCCCTGCACTGGACCCCGGGCTTCAGCTCCTTCTCAGAGCAGAGGTTTGGTGAGCCTGAACCCATGTGACCACCACTAGGCGTCCAGACGCAAGATGTTAAGGGGTTACAAACATAGAGAATGCCAACACTGCTTCCCCAAAATAAGTCGGGGCAAACTCTTCCTTAACTGTAAAGCACGATGAGAAGGGGCAGTGGAGTATTATCAGTGAAGAACTCACAACGAATGGGGAAGAGAGGTGCACACACTGTGAACACCACCGGGCAGAGGAGCTGCGCTCCAGCGGTCCCGCTGGTCACTGTGGGACAGAGAGGAGGGACGGACAGGCCTGGGGCAGCAGGGACAGTTCACAGGGTTGGGAGCCAGGCTTGAGGCACAAGGATCTGACAGCTAGGGTTTCTGCGGAGGGCGCTCCCGGCCGAGCAGGGCAGGGCCGAGGCCCCGAGGTGTGCTCTGCAGGGTCCCGGCAGAGGAACACAGCCCGGGGGGTATAGCCTAGTTTCACAGAGGGGTGTAGGAGATGAGGCTGGAAAGGCAGGGTGAGGCATTCATTATCTTTTAAAAAAAACTGTAATACAGAACCAGTAGGATGTCTTAAAGCATAACTAAAAATGACCATGTTAGTTTTGAATGACATACTATGTAAACGGACCGGAACGGGATCATGCCCATAGACAGCTCGTTCAGAACCAGGCTGTACTTGCCTCCAAAGGTATTTCCTATCGACGTTTCATTACGGTCAGACCGTCTGCATCCGTGGGGATCGTCCGCGTCCCGGTCTTCGCGGGCTCTCACCTTCTTAAACCTGCTTCCACCCCAACTGCACACTCCTGTAGTCCTCAGAACCGGCGCTTTCTCCGAACCCCACCACCCCAGAAGCACCTATTCTCTCCCTCTTGCCTCCCACACCTGCCGGGACCTGGTGCCCTCACCGCCACGGCTCTCCCAGCTCTGCAGTCGGCCCCTCCGGCCCTTCCGTTCCGTCACTGCAGGAACAGACCTGAGCCGGCAGCTCAGCGGCGCCCTGGTGCTACTGCAGTCTCACCCCCTGACAGGTCTGCCCTGGGCCTGCCCTGTCCGGCTTTCTACACGGATCCACCCAAGGAACCCAGCCAGGGGTTGGGTAGAAATGGACTCAATTTAAACTCCAGTACGTCACTTACTAATTTGTGACCATGGCAATTATTTAATCTGTCTAGGCCTCAGTTTCCACACCTATAAAACACAGATACGTTCTTATTTTTATTTTTTTTATCCTCACCTGAGGACATTTTTCCATTTTTTGCTCAGACAGAGTGGGAGGGAGAGAGAGGAAGAGAGAGAGAGAGACATCAACGTGAAAGGGACACATCGAGTGGCCGCCACCCGCATGACCAACCAGGGCCGGGGACAAACTGTAATCGAGGCACGCGCCCCTAGCGGGAACCAAACACAGGTCTCTCTGGACTGCAAGCCGACACTCCAACCACTGAGCCAAACTGGCAAGGGCTATTTATTTTTTAAATCCTCGTCCGAGGATATTTTTCCATTTATCTTCAGACAGAGTGGGAGGGAGAGGGAGAGACAAAAAAAACATCGATGTGAGAGAGACACATCAACTGGTTGCCTCCTGCATGACCCCAACCAGGGCCGGGGACAAACGGCAACTGAGGTATGTGCCCTTGCCCAAAATCGAACCCGTGACTCATTGGTCTGCAGACCAACACTCTAACTGCTGAGCCAAACTGGCCAGGGCCAAGACACTTTCTTTAAAAGGTTGTCAAGAAAGCCTGGCCAGTGTGGCTGAGTGGACTGAGCGTCGTCCCATGGACTACAAGGTCCGGGTTTGATTCCTGGTCAGGGCACATGCCCAGGTTGTGGGCTCAATCCCCAATAGGGGGCGTGCAGGAGGCAGTCAATCGATGTTTCTCTCTCCCTAAAAAATCAGTAAGAATATACTTGAAAAAAAAAGTAAAGGCTGTCGAGAAAGCCGAATATGATTTTCTGCCCCAGTGACGCTAGGATGGTGATAATTATACCGCCAGCAGCGCACTGCTACTGCTTCTAGCCCCCAGCTGTGAAGTATCACTGCAGACAAGCTAAACGATGTGCAGTGACCACGCAGGTTCAGGTTCAACTCTGCCTGGCAATTCTTCACTCCTCTTCGCTGAGCTTCTGCTGCGTGTCCCCTGCCCACAGCGCGACCTCCCCTTCTTCCTCTCCTGCGTCCTTCTCCGGCCTCTCTCCACCCTCCCTCTCTCTAAGGAAAAAGAATCCTGCCTCCTGTCTGTGTGTCAATGTGTTTCCACCTCGCCCAATTCATTCTCCTTCCCCATACTGAGGTTCCACTTTCTCACAAACCGCTCTGTCTTCACCCCTCTGTGAGCTGGTCACCCTGCTCCATTCCAGACACATCCTCCTGCTGTGCCGAATGGACTCTTTGTTTTTTTTTCTTTTATCCTCACCCGAGGACATTTTTTTTTTTTATCCTCACCAGAGGACATTTTTTCCATTTTTTGTTCAGATAGAGCGGGAGGGAGAGAGAGGAAGAGAGAGAGAGAGAAACATCGATGTGAAGGGACACATCGAGTGGCTGCCACCCGCACGACCAACCAGGGCCGGGGACAAACTGCAACCGAGGTACATGCCCTTAGCAGGAACTGAACCCGGGTCTCTCTGTACCGCAGGCCGACGCTCCAACCGCTGAGCAAAACCGGCCAGGGCCATTTTTTTTTTTTTTTTTTTTGACATTTTGTTCAGATAGAGTGGGAGGGAGAGAGAGAGAAACATCGACGTGAAAGGGACACATCGAGTGGCTGCCTCCCACACGGCCCAACCAGGGCCGGGGACAAACTGCAACCAAGTTATGCGCCCTTAGCGGGAACCGAACCCGGGTCTCTCCAGACCGCAGGCCGATGCTCTAACCGCTGAGCCAAACCGGCCAGGGATCAAATGGCCTCTTCTTTGCCCTGACCATAACCTTCACCAATGTGATCACCACCACCCCTTTCTGGAAACAGCCTCCCCCCACCCAGGTCACCACCACTGAGCATGAGACACATGTGCTCACTGCACAGTGCGGCAGACAAAGGACAGGAGCACCGTTAGGGGCCCTCCTCCCGCGCACAGGGCGCGCGTGCTCTGTGTTTCCTCCCTCCCTACTTCCTCTCTCCTGAGGATCTCACGCGTGTCCTCAGATCTGGTCTACGCTCCAAACAGGACTGCCCGATGCCCTACCTTCAGCTCACACTGACTGCATCTAACACCCAAGTCCTCCCCAGCAATCAGCGTCTCTTCCTGCTGTCCCGGTTCCTCGACAAGGACGAATCTCTCTCTCAACCCCAGGCCTTTCCTTTCCCCTCTGCTCCCCTGGCGCTGTGACTCCGTCCCCTTCACAGGGGGTGGTGTTCCGATGTCCACAGGCTCTGCCAGAGCCCACGTGCAAGCTGGCTGCTCCCGGATCAGAAACTGCCCCGAGCCCCAGGTGCCTGCCAGATGGCCATCTGCTCGTTTGGTTTCACTGACTGACTACAGAAGTTTATTCCTCTATCTTTGCTGTATTAAGTAAAAACAGAAATATTCAGAAAAGCCACCGTAACCCTTACTGAAATTACTCTTTAACAGTAGGGCATGTAAGAGCTGCCTAGGAACCTGTCATCAGTCTGGCTGTGATCCACACTCAGCAGTCCAGCCCAATGGACTGACCCATGATTCTCCCTAAACACACTCTGATTTCCAACCCCAAAGCCTCTCCTCGGGGTCTTTTCTGTCTGGTATGTCAGCCTCTCCACTTCCTGGTAAGATCTCACCCACTGCTCAAGAGGCGGTACCAACGCCTCTTCCTGCTGACACGCCCCTGCCCAAGCCAGGCCGGGGAGGTTCACCCTCCCTCTCCATCCACAGCACATGCCAGGCTCCTGCCAGGCGAAGAGACGGGACGACGGGAACTGGATGCCAGCTGACCCAGCACCATTCAATGAGGCTCACTTCTAAATGCTGCAGCCCACAGCATCTGCCGAATTGGTGGGTACCCACCGCATGCTGGGTCTTCACACTCCCACCGACCGCGTTACCTGGCCTAAAACAGGGGACGGAGAGGAGCCGGTGGCCGTGGCGGGAGTGAAAGCGGACCTCTGCCTTAGCTGGCCGGCGCTCGGAACGGTGAGAGAGGGCTGGGCTGCCCAGGCGTCCCAGTTATCGGTCTCCGGCTTCTCAGTGGTGCTGGTGGGCCACCTGGAAGGAGCAGCATGCCACCGTGATTAGCAGGTACTCCCTAAAGCACCCCCCCACAGTAAACACGAACCCGGGGCGGGGACGGAGCTTTCTAAAGCTCAAGAATAAGGAGAGGAAGAAAAAGCATTGGACTGTGGGTTTCAGTCTGAGCTTTGCAAATCAGCAACAAATCTCAGTGATTCTGGTAATTTCTCTGAACCTTGACTTCCTTACTGATAACATGGGAACATTATTCTGCCACTTTGGTTAGTTGAGAGGGTGAGAGAAATAACTCTACAGCACCAGAGAAACATCCTCACCTGATCAGTATTGTCATTTGTAACAATTGCGAAATCAGCAAACAAAATAAGTTATGCACCATGCGTGAAACATGCCAGTTGGTAGCTGGTGCTCCTTAACACTGTTTCTCTGTCCCATTCCTCGCTCCGCAAGCCCCTGGACACAAGCTCGGACACCACTGTCCTGGATCTCCGGGGCACTTCGAGTTCGTAACGTCATAATTTTAAATAAACACATCTGTGTGAGCGTAGATCTACGTGCAATTTACTTTTCACATCTTGATAAGACATAAATGCAGCTGAAAATCAAGATAATTCCTTTGTTGGACTGCATGTCCTGACTTGGGGCTGGAAAATAAGATGCTGTAATTACAGCAGGAGACTGCGCAGCAACATTCAATGAGGAAGAGTCACAGTGCCTGGATCCACAGGAAAACATGGATCTTTACCTACAATTTTAACCTGCACCTTAGTTTACAAAGTCAGCACTCCTCAATCCAGATAAGAAAGGAAGGGGGAGTTTCGACTTGGACTCATGCCAACAGAAGGTTCCTTTTTAGCAGAGATCAGACAGGGCAGACCTTGTTTAGCACACTCAACCTCTTATCTGAAAATGTAGTGGGAAACACTTGCTATTCCTCACACCCTTCCCTGCACTTCCTCCTGCCCTTGGTCATCAACCCCCTGCTCCCTCTACGTGAGCGGTCTGATCTTTCTCCAGTATTTGACTCCTTGTCTTCGATCCGTTTCCTCTGCAAGTTGGTAAGACTTGGAAAAACATCTGAAACACTTCTGAATGGTGCCTGAGTGCTGGTGCGGGGCACTGTCAGATGACCGCACGCCTTGACCACAGCCCTGTAACTGGATGTGTGGACAGTGGTGTCGGCTGTCATTTCCCACCTCTGCTGACACCTGTTCTTCAGGCCACTTCCTGGAGATCAAGGGCACGCCCTTCGCCTTCTACATCTGTACCGCTTTCTAGCTGACTCAGAACCACGTGACTGAAGTGGATTTGTTTCTGTCCAGCTCAAAAGTGCTCCTTCCATGCAGGAAAGACTGAATGTTTGCTGACTGAGTGGACGTGGAAGGGACTGTTAGGAAACCACACTTCTCCACTTCTCCCACAAGAGTGAAAGCTCCAGACAGAGGCTGCCAGGAACAGAGCGGCCTGACTCTGGACCAGGGCCCGTCATGCTGGGCAATGACAGGCTTAAATCCAGGTCCAAGAACGGAACCCAACACTTGCCCACAGACCAGCCAGAGCGTGTAAAGGAAGTGAGCCAGCTCCTTTCTGTGCGGTGCAGCTCCAAACTATGACAACACCTAGAGAAAAAAGGTCACTAAGTGGGGACTTCAAAAGTCATCAGCAGTAGCAGGGCTGCACATACGTGGAGCTGAAGTCGGCCCAGTTGTTGGGGGTGGGGGAGGGCTCAGCCGCAGTCACTGCCGGAGGAGCGGGCGTCTCCCGCACGGCCAGCTTGGGTGCGGATGTGGAGGTCGGGTCTGTCACTGGTTTGATTGGGGCAGGAACCTCGTTTTCTGGGATTTTCTCTGCGTAGTTTGCAGGAAACCACCCCGTCTTTCCTTTCAGTTCTCCTCCAAGCCATCCCGGTTCTCCAGTCTGGCTCTCATCCACCTGCAGGGGAGTCACAGGGTTGAATGGAGTGGACTCGGTCAGCCCCCAGAGACACCAGCCACGCTGCAGAACAAAGCCCCAGGCCTGACAGACCGACACCCGCACGGGGCTCTGCACCCGACCCATGGCCTGGAGTCTGCAAAAGTGGTCTCTGAACAAACAGGAAGTGCTAGCATCCAGGTTCTTACCCTTGGTGCTTTTTAAGCTTTTTTTCCTTTTTCTAATCCTGGCAGTTCAGACAAAGTGCCCGAAGTCCTAAGGCCCACAGTTTACATTTTTGGAGCTATTTTGAATCAGAAAGTGATCTGACGTTCATCACTCAGGAAGTCGGCTAATTATCATGAATAATATGACAGGTTGATTAGTTTAAGTTGAAAGCAAAGGATGCAATCAATATAAATTTGGTACTCGAAAAGTCTGTAGTAGCTAAGGAGTTCTTCAGCGTGGGGACAGAAAGATGCAAACGCAGCCGTGGATGGTTTCCACGGGAGCAGAGCTGACTGTTCCGCCATTTAGAAGCTTCACAGGTGCATGATGAGAAAACTATGGAAATAATTATTTATAGCAACCATCAAGTTGTATTAAGGTCCCATAGTTTTCTTTTGCACAAATCAAACTTTAATATTCATGAAGTGTGAAATTCTGCTGTGAAAGATTGCGGAGGCTATTTATTACACCAAGGGCTTCTAATGTTTGCATTGTACTTCAATTCTGACTCAAAAGCATTATGCAAAATCAGCAGAATTATTCTGCTTCTCTTTACAAGTTACCCTATGATTTTATGAGCAACAGAAGAGCAATTCTGGAGGACAATTACATTCACTGTTAGGAAATTATGTTGATTACTACATGTCAAATAAGGGTCTATCAGAGACGTCGTCTTATTTTGAATGCTTTAACATACTACTGCTTAAGGAGACAAACCATTTAACACTTCACTGGACATTACTGTTACTTTTCAGAAATCACACAATGAGAAGGTAGGGTCTTAACAATGATTTGGAAAAACTGACAAAAATACCAGTTTTCTAACCCATTCAAATATTCAGTCAACAAACAAACAGAAGCAAAAAAACAAAAAACAAAAACAAAAACCTATGGAACCAAACATCTATCTGTATTCCATGTAGAGTAGGTAATAGGGTGTAACAGTCACTTGCTTACTTGAATTAAAAAGATGCTTGCGATGGGGTGGAGAAAGTGGATTACTCAGCTCACTACTTACTTCTTCTATGCGTTACTGTATTTACAGAATACTCAGTATGGAGGGAACGCTCGCTTCCCGCCCCACCTTAGGGAACCGTATGGTCGTGGGTAAAAGCAATGTTTAAAGCTGAGCATTCCCCCAACAGCAGTTCCCTGAGATCAAGTGCAGAAGTGCTTTGGAGGTTGTCTGTTTTGCTTTGCAGTCGTTACTCTCGCTAACACTGAGTCGGATGCAAACACATTGGCCGATTTTCATTCAACGCCCCCGCACTGTTCTGTTCTGACTTCCATTCTGCAGCCCCCACTGTTTCCCGAGTGAGGCTTTTAGATGACGTTTTTCCTCCTTGGGTCTTATTTTATACCAAACTCAAATGGTACATGCCTATCCTTCCTCATTTATATTTATTGGGGATATTATGACACATTTTAACTTTGCAGCTGCTTTGCCCTGGAAACAGAGCTGTTTGTAGGCCGACTTCCGCAGGGCCTCCCCAACTTCTCAGGAGGTTCACCAGTCACGTTCCGGCCCCCTCCACTCATTCTAGCACCAAAGGTGATGTTAGCTAGGAGGGAGTCAGGAGCTGGAGCCTGCAGTCACAGCCCCAAAACTACGAGGGGGGACGATGGAGGGTGGGGCCCAGCAATTCCACTGCCCCAACCTAACACCAGTTCTCCAGTTCGTTAACTGGTGACCTTGGGCAAGTCTGCTCTCCCGCTGCCTCAGCCTCCCCATCTGTCCACCGGGGATACGACTGCTGCTTGTCTGTGGTGGCTGTGAGGACTGGTGACCAGCCAGAGCTCCGCCTGCCCTGTGCCTGCTCAACAGATTTTCTGAAGCCCGCTCCCCTGCTGTCCGGCCGCCTCTGCACCGCAGTCTTCTGCAGGCTTCCGCTCGCTCTGAAAGCCTAGTGCCCACCGGCCCTCCCTCTAGGTGAAGTCTCTGCTCTCCCCTGTGAGAGTTCCCTGCTCCTGAGACCTAACAGCTAAGCGTGCTGTAGGGGCTGAAATTTGATCCCTGAGTATGGCCTCTTTGGAATTCCTGCTGCTTTGGACAATGGACTTTCTGGAATGTCAGCTGCTTGACTCAGATCCCAAGATCCCCTGAAACATAGAGCCTTCTCTGGGGAAGACTTCCCTCTGCCCTGTGACTGGATCTGAGGCCCCCAGGAATGTCCTACACTTCAGGCAGGTCCAGCTCCCCCCTGGTTAAGTGATCAGCCCCGCCCTGGCCGCTCCATGATAGGGTGCGCCCCACAGAAAGGTGCTGTGCACACTGAGAAGGGGAAGGGCTGCCCCTCATCTGTGCAAGCAGTTACCCCGCCCTTCAGGGCAGTTCACTGTTAACCAAGGAAATTCAGTCAACTCAGACCAAACAACACCCTCAACCAGTCTGATTTATTCTTACAGGAATCCACTAATTTTTATGATTAATTAAATTTTAGTTTTAAGGTTCAGAGACTAGAATAAAAATTCACTCTTCACATTAAATTAAATGAACCATGCAGAGAAAGCACAGAAATTCTCAGATGAAATGAGAAACATTTCTTCCTGGCTTTGGGAAACCTGACCCAAAATCCAATCCAACTGTGAAAAAGTAGTAAGAGCAAGACAGAGCAAGAAAAGTGTGACTTCTCGGTACCGAGCTGGCTGTGATGTGGACTCTCACGGACACCTGCTGATGGCTGGACATCGGGGGCTGCAAAGACGAGCAGCACTGCTCTCAGAACGGTCCCTCTGCCCAGCCCCTGTGCGGCCTCCAATCATCTGAGGTTATTACAGTGGGACGGCAGCCAAGCGGGAAGTGCAAACCCCAGATGTTACCTATGTGTCTGGGTATGTGCTGCAGATCTACAAAGTGTTCGTGATCACACTCCGCACACCGGAGTCCACACGTGCCAACAGTCAGAGGCACACGGCAGCTATCGGTTCAAGTCCACATGCCTGAAGCCCCCGCTCTTCTGTCGCGTCTCAATGCGTAAATGCCTCGTGGCTGCTATCTCCATGAGTAAGCAGCATCAACATCTTGAAAGCCCCCGACTTGGTCACCAGAAAGGGAACAGAAACGCCTCTCCCTCGTGAGCACGACAAAGGGTCTGAAGCGGGCTGGCCTCACGCGCCCAGCCGGGAGGTGCCAGGGAGCCAGAGCGGCCGTGTTCCGGGCACCTGCCGGCTGGAAGTGTGTGGCTTCCCTCGAAACTCCCAGGAGGAAGTTTACGTTGTTCCCTAGAGCTCGAATCTGGAGGTTGGCAAAACTTTCTCTGAACTGTCGCAGCTCCTCAACGCTGCCACCGCAGCACAGACGGCTGCAGGCAGGACGTCATGAGTGGGCCTGGCCACGTACGCTCCATGACACAACAGGCACCGACTGAGCAGGTCCGGCCAGCCGAGACCGCACGTGTGCGCTGGCCCCCAGGCAGCCACGACACTGCGACTCATTATCGCTGAACAAGCTGCGCTCAGATATTAAGCTTATGAAAATCTAAGGACGGCAGGAAAGAAGAGGGAGTGAGACTACATTTTAAGAAAAGCTCTCCATCAAGAGAAGGCAAAAATGAGTTTAGACTGTTACGAGAGAAATGCTAAATTAAAAGACATTTTTCAGAACGCTGATAGCTGACAACTGCTGAAGACTTCTTTTCTGGGTATTTCAAGAATATGTTGTCCAAAAATAAGCTAGGACTAGTCCTGACAAGAGAAAGAGATTAGGTTTTATCGGAGGTTAGACAGGGAGTTCCCAAAACAAACTCCCTAACAGAACCACCTGGAGAAGGTTCTAGCCCTGTGTTTGGACTCGGAGTTCCCCGAGCCCTGGGGATGAGCCCTGGATGGCTCTCTCCAAGCTCCCTGAGCAGTTCTGACAGGCTGGTCCTGCGCCGTCTGACCCCACCGAAGATGATCGGCCCGTGTTAAGATAAACCTCAACAAAACAGTAATGAGAGGTCTTCTAATTTCTTACGCTATTCCAACACATTATAGATGTCAAATTTAATTTATTCACCTTCCAAGTGTTGGGACACCCAGATTAGAAGATAGGCCACAGATTTTCTAAGGATCTAAGTTTGGCTGTCAAGATCAAACTCAACTAAGTAGCTTCCACTCAGAAGTCTGAGCACAACATCAGTTCACTGACTCCTGATCCTCTGTGAAATTCCTGGCAGAATTAGTGAGCGTTCACCAAAAACCTCCTCATTCACTGGCTTTTCTGTGGGTTTTTGTAAAAAGATTTCAAAATGAATGGCAGACATCATCTTGTATTTCTTTGCATTATCAATACTTAGAGTAGGACTATGTACAAGATAGAACTTTAATTTATGTTAGCCACAAAAAAAAAAAATCATTTTGGGGAAAACTGGGCTGATAGTCAAGTTTTTTCAAAAGCAAAGAATTTTTCTAAAGTATCTCCAAGACTGCCTACATTAAAAAAGGAGATATTGTTTGATTTCTAAACTCTAACAGGTATACTTGGCTATTTTTCAAAGAGGTTTAAGCTACCGGAGAATCTAATGATGCCTGTGCCCACAAAAGGAAGTGAACTCCTGATCATTTAACGGAGAGGTTGAGAGTAATGTTCTAACCACCTATTTTTCATGTTCCTGTTTCTTCTTAACTGCAAACTTCATGAAACAAAATATCGTTACTATTAAATGTCAATTTCCTTTTCTTTTTTGGGGCACTGATTGTTAACCTCACAAAGGTAATAAAGCTGAATGTCCCTGGGGGGAGGGTCATGCTCCATTTTGTAATACAAAATGAAGACACTGCTCCTGTCCCTAGCAGGCCAGTAACTCACGCCTGGCAGCACAACGCATATTTCTGTGCGTATTTGGAATGTCGAAGACGGAGCAAACACACTCCAGTCCCGGGTGGGCATTCTGTTACACCTGTCAAAGCTGGGTTTGCTTTTAGTGTTTTACTAAAGAGTAAAAATGTTGATAGACATTTATAAATATGAAAATAATACATATATAAGTACATAAAATTAAACACAAAAGCCTCTTTACGGCTCAGTGGTAGCCACCATTAACAGTTTGATGTCTGCATTTCAAGACTGCTAGCTAAACACACAGAAACATTCACACACACACACACACGGCTTTTTATTTAACCAAAACTCAATTATACTGTCTGTACAGTTTCTTGTTTTTTACCGGAAAGCTTATTTGTATGCATAGATCTACATAATGTTTTAAACAGCTTCATTGTATATATTGTTTAGCTGTTTTGAAATTTACTCAAACCATTTCCCTCCTGATAGACAACACTGGGTTGGCCCTTGTTTTGTTTTTACCAAGAACGCTTCAATGAACATCCACGTACACATATATGTGGACATATGCCAAAAAACAGCCTAGAGGAGGGAGAATAACAGAATTTTTGAGAATTCTGAATTTGAATAGGTAATGCCAAATGACTCAGCCAATTCATACAACCATACTAACAATGTATATTATATCTACTTTCCTATATTCTTGACAAAGCTGGATAGTATCAAACTTTTAAATTTGCTCAGTTGAGAGATGAAAAATGCTGTCTCTTTTTTTTTTAACTTGCATTTTCCTGATCACCAATGAAATGAAGCATCTTTTCATTGATTTTTATACTCATTTATTTTCTTCATCTGTAATTGTCTCTTCATAACCTCTGCCAACCTTTCTAAGTTGTGGGTTTCTTTCATATTAATGTTTTGGAACCTTTCTGTAATATGGATGTTAACGTTTTGTCTCTTATGTATTTAGTAATAGACATGTTTTAATTTTTTATATTGTCAAATCTGTCCATTTTTGTCATTTATGGCTTCTGGTTTTAACTTACAAAGGCACTGCTTAGCCATAAAATATTCACCTTTAAAAAATATTTTTAGAAGTTTACCTTTTAGGTTTAAGCTAATTGGAGCTTCTTTTTGTCCATAGCCTGAGAGAGAGACTGATCTGACAACTTGCCCAATACAGAGCTTTCCAGTGAGACCTTCCATGGCACCTGGCAAAGGGATGCCCGGTCCACAGACCTGCGCACACCTGTCTCCTTCCTTTCTTTTGTGAGCACAACATACTACACAGACTCAGAACACACTTTTTCTATCATGACGACACTCAAAGATGTGTGCTGACACAGAAAGTGATTTCGAGGGACACACATGCACTGAGACGCGGCTCCCTGGGTCACGGCACTTACCCATTCCCCTTTAACCTCCACCGGGAAAGCAACATTCGAAAGCAAGGCAAACAGATGTTTAATGAGATGTTTTACTCGCACAGTATATCTAAACTCTATTCATTTAGTCAGGTTGGGGGTTAACTAGTCAATTTAAGGAAAGTGATTCAACATCATTGTAAAAACTTGTTTTAAAAAAAACATAGCAGTATTTTTTCATACAACACAGGTCACCTGCAACATTTCCTCAGCGTCACGTTTGTAACATTCCCTCATCTCAAGAAGAGAACATTACCTTTCTGCACCTTGTGTTGCAACAAAATCCAATTTCAAAAACATTAGGCTTGTTTTTTAAAACACTGTAATAAGCCAACTTTGTAATGAGGTCCTCTCTGAGGTCGCATTGTACTTTCATAATTTTCAGATTCCTGCTACTGCATGGTATTTATATCTTTTACAATTAATCTGCTTTAAGAGGCATGCCATTCACAGCTGAGGCAGTGTGAGGGAGGCAGGAGGGGGTGGAGAAGCTGTGCCCTGGCTCCTGGCAACACCACTTGGGTCCAGAGAGGTGCCCACTATGCAGGGAAACCAGTTCTTTCTGTGAAGAATGAGAGAGGCTGGCTCTCAGCACGCCCAGGCATTCCAAATCCGTCTGCCAAAAGGCTGGAATGCATCTGAAGATCTACTCAATTCTGAAGTCTCAATGAGATTCGAGAACTTTGGCCTTGGCTCCCCTATTTCCAGCCTACAATTCGAGAAAAGGCTATCCAAAAAAATAATGGGAGAAAGAATTGATTTCTCTGTTCTTTCTTTATATTTTGGCCCATTAAAGATCATATGTTCTACACGAAGATCAGAGGCACCCAAAATGCAGGAGTAACAGTTAAGGCCTCACACTGCAAGGACATGGAGTCCCGGTCTGAGAAACATGTTTGTCTCAATTCTTAAACTGGTTACTATAGTTTTAGTTCTATTCATAACATTATATTTAATTAAGTAAGCAGATTAACTATATTTAAGTCATTACTCTTCACACAATTTAAAGTTTACACAATCAAAAAGGAGAAAAAAATATGCATTGGACCCAAAGACACAGAAGTTATCATTTAGCAATTATGAAAATTATGCTAGAGTATTTTGCATTTAAAACGATTCCTTAAAGACTACTCCTAGTATGTAAGTAGTAATCTCAACTCTGAAATCACCAGATCTTTACAGATTTAAAAATATGCTAGGGTGTGACACAAACCCATTTTCTTTCGCAGCTCAATTTTAAAGTGATGTTACATTTTAAATGACTTCTTCCATTCTCACAGAAAAGGAGGAAGACTGAGCCTATACTTTGAAACCCAGATGCTGGATTATCGCTTTCACACCCACTGGCAATTTCACAGCTATCCAATCAGGTCCAGGGAAAGGCCAATGTAACCATGAACGGGACTCACAGCTCACGAGTCGTCCTTACCATGACTATGTCTCCCGGCTGGATGGTGATCTCATCATGGCTTCTGGACTCAAAGGGATACAGTGCCCGGTAATATACCACTTTCACATTCTCCTGGGCAGAAATTGTAAGTGGGCCTTTTTCTGTTAACAAAAAAGGCGGGGGGCATGGGCGGCAGCGAGGAGAGGAGGTGGAAAAAATAAAACGTTACAAATGCATGACAAGCCAAGTAACCAACGTTTCCTCTACCGCCTACCTCAACGCCCAAACAATTCGCCCATCCCTGGGCTTTCCGAAACACGTGGAATGCCAAAAGGGGCAAATCTGCTGTCGGCACCCAGACCCACCAGAGAGCGTCACTGAACCTCTAAGCAAAGGTCACCCCAATGCCAAGTGCAGCGAGGCCAAAGCCTGTTGTCCGCTTCCTGGGGAGGCTCCAGCGCCTCGGCCCTGCCCTAGGGTGTCCAGTCCGGGGGCAGTTCCAGTGCGCCGCAGTCTAGACAAGCCACCAGGAAAGCGTTCGGGAGCGGGCACAGAAGCACAGCTCTCCACCCTGAAGCACGTGGAGACGTCGATTCAGGCCCCGAATGTAATCCCAGCAAGCACAAGTGCCGACTTCCCCAAGAACAGTTACTACCGACAGCCCCTGGTGAAGCAAGGGGATGAGCCTAAGGGTGGACCTGGACGAAATTCATTTACATTTTCAATGAAATGAACATTGCACAACGTGTGCGAGCAGAGGGCGCGTGGAGGCTGACCCTGACCGCCACAGCCCCCGCGCGGGCCACTCCTGACGTGGGACAGCCCGGCCGCACGGGGAAGACACTGTCTCAGCCTGAAGGCGGGCGGCGGCAGGATTTCCCCACCAGCCAGAGGAAACAGGTCCTTATCCGGGAGGAGACAGAGGAACTGAAACTAATTGCCTAAGAACAAATCATGAAACGCTTTCGTAAGAAAGCAGCATGAAGATCTCCTCGGCGCCCTGCGGAGCCGCACGCCTGTGTGGACTGATGCTTTCTTCCTGATGGGGCGCCTCAGGGCGGGGAGGTGGCAGACCCAGCTCAGGACCCTCACTCTCATCCTGCCCGTGGTCCCACAGGCAACAGTGTGATTCTCTCTTTTCTTTCTGTATACCAGTAGAAAGCACACTGGTGATCAAACAAATAAAATCACTGTATTTACCATACAAGAAAGAGGCAGTCACTGTGTTCAGCTGAGTGTCATCTACAAAGTGGTACAATATCATACAGCCACACACAGATGTTAAACTATGTCCTAGCTGACATCTGTTATGAGGGATGCTTTCTAGCTATTTCAAAGTTTTCCACTTATCATTACTTAACAGATAATTTATGTTCAAAGGGCAAAAAACAGTCAGACTCTGCCCTGGCCGGTGTGGTTCGGCAGTTAGAGCATCGACCCAAGCACCAAAGGGTCAAGGGCATGTACCTGGGGTACAGGTTCAATTCTAGCCCTGGTTTGGGTCATTTGGGAGGCAACCATTCGATATGTCTCCCTCCCCCGTCCTCCCTTCCACTTTCTCTAAAAATTATTGGAAAAAATGTCCTCAGGTGAGGATTAACAAAAAAAAACAACCAATCACATTCTTCAAAAGGTAAAGAACATAGTTCTACACAGGGCACAGGGCAGACTGGAGACAGTGAATGTCACGTCAGGACAGGCAAGGGGAAGGGGTACCACCTCCTGCTCCTGAAACAGCCCAGAAATTCCCAGAGGAAATAACTGAAGAACTGAAGAGGCAGCGAGCGGGCAAGGTTATGGCCTCTACTGGGAACTTCGATGTCAGAACGAGGCTTGGTAATGAAACTTATGCCACTGTTGTCTGCAAAAGGCTTCTGATGCCAGGGTAAGGGCAACCTCAGGTTGCATGGTGGTGGCAGAATTAAACAAACCCTAATGACCCTATAGAATGACCAGCTGTACTGTCCCAAAAAGGAGTCTAACACTGTCACCTCTATTAATATAGCCAGGAGAAGGCCTGATTAGATACGGACATTTCTCAGGAGGATGGACATTTTGGGAGAGAAGAGGACTTATTTTCTGGGACATTTTGGCCCCTAATACCTGCGGTGGACCAGGGTGAGTGGACAGCTGACTTAGCTGGTTCTTGATATTGCGGGAAAAGCCGGCCCTGCTTGTCCTGCACGTCGTGTTTGCCTCTGTCCTCGCCGTCCTTCTTTCTGGTGCTCTCTGCCCGTCTCAGTCTCTCCTCCTCATGGGGTTTCCTTGGCCGCTGATGCTCCTCGTCCTGCTGCGCCTGCTCCAAGCACTGCTTGTCCCTCTCCTGAGCTCGTCTGTCAACAAGATGCTTGATTACAGCAAGGCAGCAACTGTGGCTCAGCACAAAAACAGCTCCACCCAGCAGAGGATGCTAACGCCCTTCCCGTAGGTGCTGGAATTAATGGAGAAAAAGCTCTCGGGGCCCCCATTCTGGGTGAGATGAAACCCCAACTTAGAGAAACACAGAAACAGAAATTCTGATGTAGCTTATGAAGTGATTAGAACAATTACAAAAATACTTAATTTTAAAATTGGTATGTATCTACAAAAAACAAAACAAAGCCATAAGACACACGATGACATAACCTGCATGAACAGAAAGTACACCCAACAATGCAAATGAAAGACTGCTTCAATAAGTCCATGAGCAAAGATCACCAAGAGCACACCACACTTAACGCGGACAACAGCTCCCCAAACGGATGCTGAAAGCAGTAGGTCATCTTGAGCCCTTGAAGTAGGAACCATCCATCACTAGCAACAATCCCTGAACACGTCACTGAATTTCACTGTTTTGTTTTTCAAAGAGGCTGATACAGAGATCATTTCAATTAAATGCAGGCCTTGAAAATAGTAAGGCCTCAACCTGAAACTCATAGGAAAAGACAGGGAGTGATTTTCCTCTTGTTCTATAGTATTTTATAAAATCAGAAAATACTTTCAATGATCACACTTTAAATGAAATTAGCATGCATTAATAAATGATACAATGTTAATGATAACACACTTATTAACTACTTTTACCCTCACACTGGGTAGGTAGGTCCCAGTATCATCACCCACATTTCATGAAGGAGGAAATGAAGCAAGGACACTAAGTGACTTGTCCAAGGTCACACAGCCACACCCGCCCAGGGCTGAGCCCAGGCTGGCTGGCCCGAGTTCACAACAGACCCACTCCCCTGGGACACAGCCAAGGCAGGTCACCTCCTGGAACTAGGAAACGGCTAAGGGAACGCAACATAAACAAATAACTTTCACCCTCCACTGAAAAATCATTCTATTTCTACTCTGTATGAGTGAAAATTTAGTGCAGCCCTGGCCGGTTTGGCTCAGCAGTTGGAGCGTCGACCTGCGGACTAGAGAGTCCGGGGTTCGGTTCCCGCTAGAGGTACGTACCAAAAACAAAACAAAACTAAACAACAACAACAACAACAACAAATATATATATATATATATCGGAGGGGGAGGGGGGAATCAGTGGGGGAAAAAGGAGAAACATCTGTAACAAAAATAAAATAATTAAAAATAAATAAGAAAATTTAGTGCAGCCAAATTCTTTTTAACTTAAACATTTTACTTTCAATTTTTAAAAAAATAAAATAACTTGAGTTTTTTAAATTTTTATTTATTGATTCAAAAGAGAGGAACACTAATTTGTTGTTCTAGTTATTTACGCATTCATTGGTTGGCTCTTGTATGTGCCCTGACCGGGGATCAGACCTGTGACCCTGGCTGTCAGGACAGTGCTCTAACCAACTGAGCCAGGGCTTCCTCTTAATGTTTAAAACATCTTCTAAGAAAGCGGAAGCGCTCGCCAGTGTTGCTCGGTGATTAGAGCACTGGCACCCCTCCTGAAGGGTCTCAGGTTCGACTCACAGTCAAGGGCATGTACCTGGGTTGCAGGTTTGATCCCTGGCCCCAGTCGGCATGCAGGAGGCAGCCAATGCACGAGTCTCTCTCACTTCGATATTTCTCCCTCCCTCCTCCCTCCCTTCCACTCTCTCTAAAAAAATCAATGGAAAAATATCCTCAAGTAAGGATTAACCAAAAAAAAAGTCTACAATTTACTGGAGGAAGCTACAAAATAAAAACCACAAACACAAATATTCAAACAAAAATGTGTCTGTCTCCTTAGCAGCAGTTGCAGACACTGTCCCCTGGGCCCAGTTCACTGCACCGGGGGAGGGGGGGGGGGATAGCTGCTGTCAGCCCTGCCAGCGGAAGCCTGGGGCGGCCAGCCCGGCACTCCAGCCGCCCGTCACTCAAAGGCTGTGACCTGGAAAAGTGTTTGGGTCACTGGCATGTAAATGAGCACACCCAGTGTCCCAATTTCCTTGTATAAATCTGTTCATCTGCATAGCAGTAACTGGGGAGAGTTCTGGGAACCAACCAAAAACTTCGGGGGTGCTTATATATGCAAAGATTTATACACACACACACACCAAAAGCTCGCTCTGGCGAGGGGAGCCTTGGTGAACACTCTGGTTCCTTCCACATGGGTCCACAGCCCACTGCAAACACTCACCTTTGGGTTTCTTCCTTTTGTTTTTCTAGTTCAATGACCCTTCGCTCTTGTTCCTTCTGTTTCAGTCGTTCAGCCTCTATGGACTTCTGTTTCTGGAGCTGCTGCTTACTATGTATTTCTCTTAGTTCCTATAAACCATCGAGAAACAGGTAACACATGAGTGACGGGCACCGCCACTGTCCATGAGCATGCGACATCGCACAGTGGAGAAGCCCAGGCACTTAAGAGGTAACATTTAAGAGATAAAAAACGTTAACTTGGAAAACTGCCATCACGCTCCATTTTTTTTTTTCTTTTTTTTTTATCCTCACCCGAGGACATTTTTCCAATTTTTGTACAGATAGAGTAGGAGGGAGGGAGGGAGGGAGAGAGAGAGAGAGAGAGAAACATCGATGTGAAAGGGACACATCGAGTGGCTGCCACCCGCACGACCAACCAGGGCCGGGGACAAACTGCAACCGAAGTACGTGCCCGTAGCGGGAACCGAACCCGGGTCTCTCCAGACCGCAGGCCGATGCTCCAACCGCTGAGCCAAACCGGCCAGGGCCATCACGCTCCATTTTTAAGGACTGATCTCCAGAAGCTGACGAGGCTATTGTAGTGAGCCATCCACAGGTGCCCGAGGAACTTCATTGGTGTCACGACATGGTGACGATCATGACGGAAAAACCTGAGATCTTTCGGATAATGAGTCAACACACCTCCACTGCCTGTGAAAATGCACACACCTTCTCGCACACTATCCCATAAAAACCTCACCTCCTCCTCACGCTACGCTGCCTTCGAACAAATGGACACCCCTCTGCTCCACAGCCTCCACCCACGCCCAGGGGCTGTCTGTCTGTCTTCAGATCACCTTTCAGAGCATCTCCTCTTGCCAAAGCCATGAGTGAAGTTGTCAGCTGCCTGGACTCAACCAGCAGTACGGTGGAACAGAAAAGCCTAATTTCATGATCACCACCTGAGATCCCACGTCCCCACCTGATTCTAGCCCCCAAGAATAATAGGAATTTCCTTCACAGGCTACTGAAAATACAATACATTTTATGATATTTAAAATATTCAAGTCAGAACTTTAAACACCCAAAAGTATGAAGAACGAAGAAATGCCAGTTGAGGGGGAAACCCTCAGATTGCACAGGACCAAACGGTCACTCTGAGGCTTGGTCACAGAACTCCTGTCACTGCGCCGGCAACAATCCGGTGAGCCCAAGCACCCAGCAGAGTCAACAGGAGATCTGCAGTGGACTCGGTCCGGCTAACGAGGGCCAGTCCCACGGTGGACAGCCCAGGGTCTCCACGGGGAGATTTAAAAACTCAGGCTGCCCATCTGCTCTCGCTCTGCTCACTGGCAAGTCCACGTGGGGGAGGGGTTCTCCTTGCCTAGAGATCTACCTGTAGGTTCATTCTGAGGTTGAACCAGAGGGCAGGGGAGTATCTGTGGAAGGTCAGTGTTAAAATGCACTTATTCCTAAGCAACGGCCCTGAGTGTTAGACTAGCCTTTTCCTATTGACTAGACAGTTCTTAGGAGAACGTCAGGACACTTGTACAAGCAGTGTATACACTATGAGTGACTGTGAGAGGTCCTAAAAGGGAACTACAAGAAAAAGTTTAACCGGAGATCAGGAGGTGAGGGGGAGACAGGTCCTGGGAAGTAGGGGAAGGGGGTGTGAGTGGGCAACCCCGCAGATGAGACCCGGAACGTCCAGGAGGGCGCAGCAGGAGAGGTGACGCGGTGAGGCGCACGCTGGTGGACTCTTCCCTCAGGCAGCAGCCCGGGTACGACTTGCGTAGTATGAAGGGTGCCTGGGGCAGGAGTTTCACTGGGGAGGGGCAGGAGAGGGTAAGAATGGAGACTGGACAGTAATGAGAGAGCCTCACTCTCACTCTGCCTGTCTAACGTTGTAAGTAAGAGAAGAAAATAAACACCAGGAAAGAGAATTCCACTTCTCATTGTCCTTCTCACTTCACACCATGGGATATAAAACTTCAATGTTTACAAAACTCAGCGGGAGCCCTGGCGGGCGGCTCAGTTGGTTGGAGCATCTTCCTGTATACCAAAAGGTTGTGGGTTCGATTCCCTGTCAAGGCACATACCTAGGCTGCAGGTTTGACAGGATGCTTATGGGAGGCAATTGAGTGATGGTTCTCTTTGACATTGACGTTTATATTTCTCTCTCTCCCAACTTCCTCTCTCTCTCTGGAAAATCAATAAAAACATATCCTGAGGTGAGGATTAAAAAAAACTTTAAAAAAATTCAGTGGAGTTGCTTCTTACAATAATTTGGATTCAAGCATAGTGTTCTCTAATAAATAAATAAATAAAATGTTACCTGGCCAGTGTGGCTCAGGGGTTGAGCGCTGACCCATGCACCAAGAGGTCACGGGTTCGATTCCCGGTCAGGGCACATGCCCAGCTTGTCAGCCCAATCCCCAGTGGGGGACGTGCAGGAGGCGGCCAAACCATGTTCTCTTTCATCGATGTTTCTCTCTCTCTCCCCCCTCCCTTCCTTTTTCTCTAAAATCAATAAAAAAAATTAATAAAAAAAATTGTAAATGTGATTAATATTTTGAATTTGGTATCTCAGAGACAAACAGATAAAATGGGCCAATCCCTGTTGCTGGCGTCACCTGCACGCTGGCTGGATGAGTAAACGGGGGAGGAGGGGCGGTGGAGGGACCAGCCCGGGAAGCCTCGGAGAGGCCCCTGAGCCAGCACCTGCAAGGCGGCCGGCTGCGCCACAGCCGGGAGCAACGCCTTTTGGAAGGAAGGGCAAGAAGCGATGGAAAGATTTCCTTTATTTCCTATTTGAAAGTTCCATCTTCAACTGCAGAAGAGTCTTGCACAGGAAGGCTAATGTACAGAGACGGAGTACAATTAGGAGGCTGGGCCCGCGAACACAGAAACCGCCCGAGCCGGGTTCCAGCGGCCAGGCGGCACCCCGCAGCCGGCCGCGGCTTCCTTCCAGCTCCGAGGCCGGTCCTCAGGCGACGTTTCATTACAAACTGTTCTTTATTTCAGTGTCTCTTTCAGCTAAGGTTTTATTCTTATTTTGGGAATAAGCCAAAAAGGTGTAACCAGTAAGCAAAGTAACTCTGAGCTGTGAAATTCAATACACAGCAGCAGGAAACAACAGGACAAAAGTAACATTTTAGTTTGAGGTTCCAAAATCCGATTATGTATTTAAAAAGAAAAGATTACGTATTTATCCAGGAAAAGTGTATTTATACGTCAAGTGATAGTCCAAATGTTTAAGCATAAACACTGGCCAATCAGAATGGACACGGGCCGAGGTGTCCGACACTCCGGGGAGACCAAGGGCGCGAACGCGGACTTTTCACGTTAGCACAGGGGTACGCTGCACATTTCCTTTCTGTACTGGCCTCTAGAAACCGGTGCTGACTGATAATGACGAGAGACAGGGTCAAGCCATTTGGAAGTAAAGCTAGTAACGTATTAGGAGGCACTATAAAATGAAAAGCAGTAAGTGAATTTAAAGAATCTACAGGAAAAAAAGTATGCTAATGATAGTTTTAAAAAACAATTTTAAATGTATCAAATACATGAAGGAAGAGATTTTGAAGCCTTAAAGCGCATTTGTTTCAGCGGAGCGGTGGCACAGGAGGCGACCCTATCTTTGGAACTGTGTAAGTAAGTGGCAGCTTCAAGCACCTCCAAGGAAACGGAGCTCAGAGGAGCCATAAAATAATAGATGTCAAATACAGTAACAGACGGCTCTGGCATCTTACGATCCAGATTTGAAGGCTGCGACACTTTTCTATGGTCTCCTTCATCCAACCTGCTGAGCTCCATGGTCTTCCTCTCTTTTCTTGGACTTCAAAGTTTAAGATGACGTGAACCAAAATATGCAGAAAACTTCTGATTCTTAAGCTGACAACTCTTTTACAGGTTGAACTTCTAGAAGGCAATCTCCAGGACGAAGGAGTAAGAACTGAGAACGAGCTGCTGCCTTGCTTCCCGTGCCTGCCGGGACCGGGGGCTCAGTGCTCTCGCAGCAGAGCAAGGGCGGCCCGGCCTTCCAGTCTTTCCACTGCTGTTTAAAGACTCAAGTACAACGACAGCTACTTAAAAGTGCCCTTTTATTTCCTTCCGGGAAAACACTTTTAAGGTGACAAACTTGGCGTCATTAAATTATTTACTTAAGAAATGAGAAGAGTGACCTGGCCGGTTTGGCTCAGCGGTTAGAGCGTCAGCCCGCGGTCCGAGAGACCCGGGTGTGGTTCCCGCTAAGGGCACGTGCCTCGGTTGCAGTTTGTCCAGGGCCCTAGATGGGTCGTGCGGGCGGCAGCCACTTGATGTGTCCCTTTCACATCGATGTTTCTTTCTCTCTCTCCCTCTCACTCTATCTGAACAAAAAAAAAAAAAAAAAGAAAAAATGTCCTCGAATGAGGATAAAAAATAAATAAATAAAAGAAATTAGAGAATTATGGGGAGAAGTGGCTCAGAAAAACACAAATTCTATCAACTGTTCCTGGTAGTCACCCTCATTAAAGTGAGCCTACAAATTCTATTAAATCTTGTCACAATTATTTCTCTATTATACTGTAGATAAAAACAGAACCAATAAGAAATTACTAAGAATCAAAACTCAGTATCTCACTTATGGTTCTTCCTAACACTAACAACTTACTTCTTGGTTGGATATTTCTCTAAGGTATTAAATGTATAACTTTGATTTTTCTTTTTTAATCCTTACCTGAGGATATTTTTCTATTTATCATCAGATAAAGTGGGAGAGAGGAAGGGAGGGGGAGGGGGCAGGAGCGGGGAGAGAGAGAGAGAGAAAGAAACTTCTATGGGAAAGGGTCACATCGACTGGTTGCCTCCCACATGACCCCAACCAGGACCGGGGATTAACCGCAACCGAGGTACGTACTCTTGACCGGAATCAAACCCAAGACTCATTGGTCCACGGGCCAACACTCTAACTGCTGAGCTAAACTGGCCAGGGCTGACTTTTCTTCTATGAGTTCTATACTAGGATATGATATGTTTTACACTAGCTATAATATATAATAATTTAATATTATCCCCTAATAAAGTATAATACTGTTTTTTTTCTTGGTTAATCGTCACCGAGGATATTTTTTTCCCATTGATTTTGA